GATCGCTGCTGCCTTACAGTCACAGTGTCATAGCCAAGGATGCCACTCATGCTGCCGGTGCCGTAGGCGATGTAGATGGTTTCGTTGGTGCTCACGTAGGTGGAGGACTTGTAGGGGTTGAAACGATTGTGGTTGCCTGCAGGTGTGAGAGAGGAATGGTCACAGCCCATCCCACCCTTGGGCACTGAAGGCAAGGTGACAACACGTGGCAAAAGGGGGCGCCATCCACCAGCCCTCAGGGAGAGGGATACTCACTGCAGGCCAAGCTTTTGCAATACACAGAGGGCACCCACAGGTTGGAGGAGCCAGTGTCGAAGATGACAGTGAAGTCCTGCGACGGGGTGCCGATGGAGATGGTGCCATAGTACGAAGCCTGTGGAAGGAGGTTAGGGGGATAGGAAGGTGATGAGAGAGTTGGTGAGGGGCTGGTAGCCCTTGGGTTGTGGCTGCCCCCTGCTCACATCCATGTAGTTCGTCATGGGCTCATAGGATTCAGTGGCAGTAAAGACATGGTTGTATTTGGAGGCTGGGTTGTAGGGATGCTTCTTCAGGAAATCTTCCAGCAAGCCATGCTCCTTCAGCTGCTTCCGCAGGGACTTTCCCTTCTGCAGCGGGATCCTGAGGTGTGGGAGAGATCAGGCTCAGGGCAGGGATGGAGATCAGGGCACAGAAGTTTGGGGGACACCCATGCTGTGCCTTGGCTGTGGCTATGGCTGGGCACTTCTAGCTGCCCCCTGTCCTTGTTGAGCCCCATCACATACCCACCGCCACACTGCTCACCTGCGGATGTCGCATTGGGCCAGGGCAACCAAGCTGAGGAGCAGGAGCAGCTTCATCATGGTTCCCTGTGGCAAGTTGCTGATACCAACGGTGAAGTGCCAATGTGCCGGGTGCCCCAATTGAGTTCCTTATATACAGCTCACGGTTGTTTGGCCAGCAGCCCCGATAAGAAAGGCAAACGGCCATGTGGAAGTTATCACAATGTCCGCAGAGGACACCAGGGGAATGTCAAGGTGATGGCTTGCCATCCCCTCCACTGGGGCACCGGATGCTTAGGGAAGGCTCAGGCCCCAGGGGAAACACATCCCAGCGTCCTGCAGTGCCGTGGGGAGGCCCAGGTAAATGCTGGTCTGATTGCAGACATGGAGGATGAAACTGGGACCAATTAGGGGATGAAAGTGGGACCCAGTGGGGATGCTGCTGGCCAGGAAGACACAGAGCTCACCCACGTGTGGTTGCATCAGAGGTGCTCAGCTCTGGTTCGGGCATTGTGGTGCCATGCGCGTGAGCCGGCACGGTCACCTTGTCCTGTGCACAGAGCACAGGAGGAAAACAGAGAGAGCCTGCAGCAGTGAGCACCAGCCTCAGCCCCACTTCTTGCAAGGAGAAACAGGAAGATGGATGCTAACTTCACCAGAGAGAGGAAAGGAGAGCAGCCTAGTAGGGTCTAGCAGGCGATGATAAGGGCGGAAGGGCTGAAGTGCCCGATATCCCTAGGCAGGGGACAACAGCATGCCCATATGGCAGTCTTCCTGCTGGGAAAAGTTTTGGGCAAATGCTCTTATTGCATTTAAAATACAAACTGGGGGAAGCCTCGTGATCGGGACTGGTGCTGTGAAACTATGGTATTCTGTAACTCTCATGGTCACCTATGTTAGCAAGAAAAGCTCCAGAGGAGCAATAAGTGGGCTCAAAGATGAAAAGTAGCTCTGTGAGCAGGTTTTCCTGTACCAAAAAAAACCCCATATTCCGCATGTGTGTTCTGATAGATGTGCCTCTGGGCAAGAAGGCCACTTCTCAACGCCCTAAATCATAGAGACACAAAATGGTTGGGTTGGATGGGACCTTAAAGCCCATCCAGTTTCAACTCTCCCACCAAGGGTAGAGTTGCTCATCGTGGGACAGGCCAGGGTGAACCCATGGGAGGACCCGCTGAGCTGCCTCGGTCATCAGAGGGTGGTGAGGCCCTGGCACAGAATGCCCATGGAAACTGTGGATGCCCCATTCCTGGAGGTGCCCAACACCAAGCTGGATGGGGTCCTGGGCATCTTGATCTGGTGAGGGGCAACAGGCCCACGGCAGGGAGTAGGGCTGGGAGGGCTTTAAGATCTCTTCCAACTCGGCCATCATATTTTTCTATGATCAACAAGGGCACGCAGGTGGCTCCAGGGGTTGAGCAGCTCTGAGATCGGCCAGAAGCTGACTTTCCTCTTTCTTAGGACTGTTGCTGAGACTTCTCCCAAATGAACAGGCCCGCAGACATCAACAGCCACACTCATGTCCACGATGTCCCCCCAGGGACAGGTGAAGGTCGAAGAAGGGCTCAGAGCCTGAAGGCAACTCATTGGCAAGGAGTAGGACCAGACTGGTGGCCAATACAGGGGGGTGAGGCCCTGGGGCTGCTGCCTGTTTGCTCATACGTCAAGCTGCATGTGCCTGATAAGAAATGCAGGTTTTTTCCACTGAGAGGCCTAAAGGAAGTTTCCGGAAAACTGTTTGTTTCCAAGGGCTATTGATTTCATAATCTTATCCCGATGGGAAGCAGGCTATGAAGGGGGGAGAACAGAGTGTTCCTGGTCATTTTAACGAACAGTGGAGACAGGGAGGAAATGGAGCATGGGGACCTCACTTCACAGTCATGGGTTGATCAAGAGCTGGGCAGTGTCAGGGAGATGTGTCTGCTCTGGAAATGCCTTTTGGCAGCTACTGTATTCAAGCCAGGAAAGACACAATCAAGAAATCTGCACATCCCAAGGTGTCATCATTGCTGGGAAACCAGGGTAAAAGATGCCTTACTTTTGGACACACAAGAAGGTTAGGTGACTTGGATTTGAGTGGCAAATAGCTCTGTCTGGATCCCTGTGTGGCTTTGTCAGCAACAACAAAGACAAGGTGGGAATCAGTTGCACCAGACCATCCCTGGTGGCTAGGTGCACAAAAAGTCTGGATGGGAACGGTACAAGATTGGGCACCAACACTGATGTTGCATTGAACTATCATATGTTATATTGGCACCCTCATCCCAGGGGCCAAATCATGTGGTGAGGAACTTTGCTGATGAAGCTCCAGAAAAGCCCTACCAAACAGACCTGGTGCTAGGCAGAACTACCCTTGCTCTGTTGAGGAAAAGATATCCATTCCTAGAGCTCTACTTGTGCCAGCTCAAAAGGCTCAGCCTGAAAAAAATCACCTTCCTGAGATACAGTTTATCCTGGTAACAGCAGATCAAGGAAGCAAACTTGTTTTCCTCTCCCTGTTCCATCTTTCCTGACCCTTCTGTAAGGGCAGACTGAGAGGACAGGAGTCTGGTTTGATGCTCCTGAGGTGTCAAATTCCTAGAACTTGATGTAGCAAGGTTTGATTAATATCAATAAAGGAAGAGAGATGTTGGCTCCTTACTGGGCAGGACCTCTGGATGGTGAGGCCAGCTCTTCCCATCTGCTGTGGGAGACCCAGCCAGTGACTGAGGCCACCCGCAGTATCAGCCTGTGGCTGAAGCACATGGTTTGTGAAACCCTTGGGTTACATGAGAGCAGGTACAGGAAGGGAGCTGGCTGGGCTGCAGCTCCCTTGTGAACCACATCTGTGATGTGGTGCTGAGAAAGTTGAGTGACTGTTAGGCTCAAAGGGACATTAAACCAAAACCACAAGTGAACGTGGCCAGACCAAAAACCAAAGGTGATATGTGAGACAGAATCAGGGCTGCTGAGCTGAATTCTGTACAAGATTTTTTAACCCTGCGCTGATTTTGTGTTGCTTTGCTCCAGCTTCGTACTGCCACCTCCCACTTTGGTGCCCAATTAGCTGTGAACAACATCAGATCCACTCATCAAGTCTCCCCTCAATGGTATCATTCACATACAATACTGCTTATCCCGTACTCAGTCCTTACAGTTTGACAAATGGTGAGCTGGATGTGCTCCAGCCCTTTCATGTCCCTGGAGACTTTTCCTCACACTATCGATCCTCCTTGAAAATATCAATCTCCCTTTGGAATTTCATGTCCCTTTCCTGCAATAACATTGGGTTCTGCCGAGGTTATCATCCCTGCTATGCACCGACTGGACCACTGGGTACTGAACCAGATCTGTATGACTCATGTTTGTCATACAGAAGCCAACAGGGCCTCACGTGGCACACGGAAACCAGAGGTGCCTTTCTGGAGCCATGTGCTTGATGGCAGCACCTCTGAAATATTGCCATGACCTTGCTGTGGTCCCCTTTGTGTTCCACGCTTCCTCATGACTGTGTGCACAGAGCTTTAAGCTAAAAGATGAGGCATTCAGATCAGTTACGAGGAGGAAATTCTGTACTCAGAAAGTGATGAGGCCCTGACGGAAGGGAGCCGTGGATTCCCCATCCCTGGAGGTGCTTGCTCAAAGCCAGGCTGGATGGGGCTCTGGGCAGCCTGATCAGGTGGCAACAAAGGATTGGGGCTGGGGAGGCTTTGAGGCCCCTCCCAACCCAACCATTCTGTGGTTCTGTGATCTTAGAGGTCCATTCCAAACCAACCGTTCTGTGGTCCTATGGTTCCATGAAACGTGGACGGCAGCATTCTGCAGACCACAAGTGGACGGCAGGTGTGTTTGCCTTGCTGCTCACATTGGTTGCTTTATGCAAGGCAGGCTATTCACAAGGACTTGCTGTTCTTGCATTTCTTGCAGAGCTCGCCGGCAGAGCAGCAAGAGCAGCACTCTGATCCACCTGAGCCAGCAGCCGTTGCAACTCTGTGAGAAGCAGCTGCTGCTCAGCGTGAGGTGCTTTACACAACACAAAGGAGCTCCCTGCATGGAACCCCTGCAGTGTGGCTCGAGAAGCCAGGCCCCGCTTCAGCTACAGCCACAAACCCAGCCCACACTGAGTCCAGGCCACAAGATGGCGGCGGCGTCACGCACCCCTCGCCGCCAGGGGGCGCCACATCCCTCAGCGCAGCGGCGGCGGCGCTCACTTCCGGTGAGGCGCCGGAAGTCAGTGGCGGCGCAGTCCGGCGGCCCGAAGCCGGGCGGAGCGCGGCTGGGCTTTACGCCCGCCGGTGTTTGCGGCCTTTCGGTGCTGTCGTGGGCATCGTCGCGTTGGTGGAGGGGCTCCGCGCTGGGTCCTGAGCGGGGACGGTGCTGGGGAGAAGCGGGCCGAAGGGAGGCGAACCTTGACAGGAGCGCCTGGTGCAAGCGAGCGGCCTTCCGGGTCTCTGTGAGTAAGAACTGAAGCTGTTTCTGTATCCTTAATCGGATCGCTGCCTGATCGCGGGGGGCTGGGTTTGACTTCGGGGAGGTTCAGGCTGAGTGTGAGGAAAGATTTCTTCTCGGAAAGAGTGGTGAGGCACAGGCTGCCCGGGGGGCGTAGTGGAGTCACCGTCCCTGGGTGTGCTCAGGAACCACGGAGATGTGGCACTGGGGGACGTGGCCCAGTGGGCGTGGGCTGGGCTGGATGATCTTAGTGGTGTTTTCCAGCCTTACTGCCTTTTTGAATTCCTTTCCCTGTTCTAGGAGGCCGTGGCTGTCTGAGCATGGACACCCTGAAGAACCGTACTGTGGAGGAGCTCCAGGCTCTGCAGGAGGATGCTGCGGAGATCGAGCGCTTGGCCCTGGAGTCCAGGGAGGTAAGCAGTGAGGCAGGCAGGTGAGGGCTGGCTGCGTGGCACTGTGCTGACCGTGGGCTCTGCTCCTCAGGTGCAGGAGCTGCAGCTGGAGAGGGAGATGGCGCTCGCTGCCAATCGCAGCCTTGCTGAGCAGAACCTGAAGTTCCAGGTTCCTCTGGAGACAGGACGTTCTGAGCTCTCCAGCAAGTATGAGGAGCTGCAAAGCCTCACTGAACGCTGTAAGGAGCAGAAGGCAAAGCTGGGTGAGTGGCTTCAGTCTCATTTCCTTTTGTATAATTGCAGAACCACACAGTGGTTGAGTTGGAAGTGACCTCAAAGCCCCCCAGCCCTAACTACTGCTGTGGGCTGGTTGTCACCCACCAGATCGAGCTGCCCAGGGCCCCATCCAGCCTAGCTTTGGGCATCTCCAGGGATGGGACACACAGCTTCCTCAAGAAGCTATGCCAGGGCCTCACTGTACCCTGAGGGAGGAATCTCATCCTCACAGCTAAGCCAGATTTTCTCTTTTTTAGTTTTAAACCCTTCTCCCTTCATTCTGTCACTCTCTGCCTGTGTAAAAGATCTTTCTCCTCTGTTTATAAGCTGCATTTAGGTACCAATCAGGTATGGCAGTGGTTAAGACTGTTTCCTATTGAGACTTTTTCCTTACACCAACATTTTCCAAGGTGGGAAGACACTGTTGGAAAGGCACGTGGGCCACAGAAATGAGGACAGTGAACTTCTGCTTTAAGTTTTCCTTGTGTCTCAGTGCAAAGCTGTGGAATAGGTGACAAGCTCTGTTAGACAGGTCAGTGTACTAACGTTTTTGTCCCATTCTGTGTTTATTTCTCTGCTCTTTTCCCCAGAGAAATTTTCAGCCGCAATGCATCCTCAAATGTTGCTGGATCTCCTGCAGGTGGAAAGCCAAAAAATTGAAGAGGAATCTGAGGTGAGCTTAAGGTTTGAAACAATTAGCAGTTTGAGTGATTAGTTCTAAGAGATTTGCAGTTACTCTCCCAAACCTAATCCCTTAAATCAAGGATTATCTTTTTGTAGCTTGACATTGTCGCTCCAAAAAAGGTTGGATTATTCTTTCTTTGCTTCTGTGCGGTGCGGTCCTGAGGGAGATGTCAATCCCAAAGTGGATTTGGGGAGTCAGCACTGAGGGATGTTGTACTGTCTTCTCTTCCAGAAAATGGCTGAGAAGTTCCTGGAGGGTGAGGTGGTCCTGGAGACCTTCCTTGAGCAGTTCTTGGTGATGAGGAAGTTGTCCCACTTGCGCCGGGTCAGGGTGGAAAAGCTGCAGGAGGTGCTGCGGAAGTCACGAGCACCACAGGAGCCTGTCAGGGACGCACAGCAGCAGCAGCCTCCTTGTGCACCCGTGGACCCACCGCAGCTACTGCCCGTCCCATCAGGGGCTCCTTCCTTTCCTCTGCCCTACAGCCCGGCCCCAGCCATGCCGCCTGGCCCCACAGCGCACGGCGCTCTCCCACCTGCTCCTTTTGCAGGTGCCCCACACACCACAGGACACGTTGCTGCCTCTCAGCCCAGCGCCCAGCCCACCCTTCCCTACCAGCCTCCTCCGGGTGCCACGTACCCGCCCTTGCAGGCTGCTGACTCCGCACCGGGCTTCCCCAAGCCTCCCCCAGGCGCCTCGTTTGCACCAGCCTACTCCTGGTCTCCATCCAGGGGCCCACCGCATGTCCCGTCCTTTCCCTCCACTCCACCACCCAGACCTGCCTACCCACCCTACGCACCCCCTGGGGCTGGGCGGCCACAGTGTCCCTACCCCACGCAGCCTCCCCTCCCCAGTTTTCCGATCCCCCCTCAGCCTCCCTATCCACCAGGGCCACCCTGTGGGTACCACCCCCCACCCGGGAACCCCCCGCGCCCTGCTTGGCCTGGCAACTAAACCAGACGGTGTCCTCTGCTGCTCCCTCCTCTTTGTGGACTGAGGAAGAGGAGCGAGCCCAGAGCGTGGCTCTTCAGCCCCTGCACACCAGAGTGTCGCATACGATGCAGTAGCAGCCACATGTCTTTGGGATCATTGCGAAGTGGTTGCCGGCAGGCTGAAGTGGCTGCTTCCCAGCAGGTTCATCCAGGCTCTGCTATAGCACCCAGGCAGCCAGCTGTGTGTTATACGTGGGCTGTGCACTGATAAGGCCTGCTGGGAGCCTGACCGCTCTGTGTGCAAGCGAGCAATCCTCTGGGTCTGCCTGTCGTTTATAACACATGTAGTGTAGGAATTCCCAGCTTCTTCATAGATATCCCAAAGGTACAGTGGGAATCACAGTATTTCAGCCACAAAATGTTTGCTGTCTGCAAGGGGCCCTCCTGAGATAGGAGGTGGGAATAGCTGGGCTCGCAGGTGTGTTGCAGCTCAGAGATGCTGCCAGCACACCCTAAAGCAGAAGCGCATCCCAGTGCTGCCCCTTTCAGGTGACAAAACCCATCTCCACGCTGCCCAGGAGCCTCTGCATCCCACACAGGCTCTGACTGAGGGCATGAAGGCTCCAAGCACAGGATGTGGGTGCTTTTACACTAAGAGGGGTTCACGCTGCCCTGGGGGGTGTGCCCAGGTTGCACGGAGGAGTTGGTGTTGCACACTCAGCTGCTCCTGTGGTGCCCAGGGGTGGATTTGGGATTCCCCTCCTCCGGAAACACGAGGTGATGGGGAGCCAGGGCTGCTAGCAGAAATGGCGTTTGCATTGCTCAGCACTTTTTCCTACCAATACCGCTCCTATGTCTGTAAGTTATTTATAAGGGGAGATTACTAATGGACTAGAGCAAGAGGAATGCTTTAGGGGTCGATGGAAGCAGTCCCGCATGGTGGTTAATTACAGTAATAAAATGGTGAATCGTACACGGAGTCCCAGCAGTGGTACCTTCAGAAATGACAGAGCTCTATTGATCTTTCCGTGCCATCTTGGCAGCCTCACACTGACTTCCTCTCCATTTTGTCAGCTCAACCTTTCACCCTCCTGCACTGTCTTCTAGCGCATCCTTCCTGCTCTCCGGCTCTTTCTCCCCGAGGGGCCCTCTGCTGCCTTTCTGCACGTTTCTTGCTCATCCATCCCTTGTGCTGGTGGTGCCTTTTGGTTGGCCATCCGAGGAGCGGCGCGGTAGCGGAGGGTGGAGAACAAGGCATCGTTACCAGAAATAACCATTTTATTACCAATTCAATGGATTGCTTCTCGATGTTTCTGTTCTTCCTGCGCTGCCCATCCACGCTTTGCTTTTTGCACAGCCCTTGTGCTGTCCTGCGCACGCGCAGCCAACTTCATTTCTCTGCTTACAGCCCCAAGGCGCGCGGTTGCATCACGGCAGCCCTTGGCCCCACGGTGCAAACTTTCAGATGCATGCAGAGCTCAGAAAGCTCCCACCTTGCGCTTTCCCAGGCAGGAAGGAGGCCAAGAAGTGAGAGAATGAGCAGGAAGAAGCAAAAGGTTGCTCAGAGGCTGAGGCGCATCAGCACCCTGAGGCCATCGTGGGGTCAGAGATGAGCGCAGCAAAGGATGCGAGTGGGCTCAGCTCCCGCAGAGAGATCCCCAAGTGAGCAGGGTGGGCTCCAGCACCGCGGGGATGGGGATATGTGGGCATCCACCCATCTGTTCCTCCGGCTCTGTGCAGCTGAATTAATCGATCCCATCAATGGGGCGGCCCTACCTCTGCATCTCACAGCCTGCGGGCAGAGTGCAGGTCGTAGTCACTGTCAGAGGAGTTGTCCAGGGCGCTGGCAGCTCGTGCTGTGCCTTCCAGGGCTGTGGATTGAACCACACACGGCTCCTTACCCAGTGCCACCAGATGGTGCCCGCGTTACAGAGCCCCACATTCATCCTTCCCCATGGGAAGGGAGTGCAGGTTGCCAGTGTCCTCACCTGGGTACGCAGACAGGCTCTTCTGGGGGGGCTGAGCATAATCATTGTCCCTCCCCTGCGCCCTCTGCTCCTCCACTCTTGCCCTCGGGGTGACAGTGCTGTTGCGGTGGAAGGAGACTGCAAGGCAGGGTGGCTTGGGAAGAGTGCTTCGTGCCACCAAGCCAGCACTGCACTGACAATTCAATGCAGTGGCAAGAAGCAAGAGCTGCTTACAGCCCACGCCAAAACCCAACTCCCTGCTCACCGCTCTGGTGCAATCCCGTGGGGCCGATCCACTGCCGCTGCTTCTTCTTGGAGACTGTGAGGAAGGGATGGAGAAAGGGAGGGAGAGGATGCAGTCAGGTTGTGTCCCCCCAGGAGCCCACTGTGGCCCCATCTGCCATGCCCAGTAATCCTGGTAATCTCCTGTCTCATATTGAGCGCTCATTTATGCGCCTATTCCTCGTGCTGCAGGCAGAACAGGGACGGTGGGGACAGGGTGGTGGCAATGGTGTAGGGAAAATGGGGATGAAATGGTAGCACTGATATAGGAACAGTGAGGATGGAGTGGTAGCATCAGTGTGGGATCCAGGGGAAGGCACATGGAGTGCACATGTGTCACCCTAAAAACTCACAGAGGTGGGGGATGTGGTTGACACAAAGAGAGGGGTTTGGGGACAGGTTGGGGGTCTTGCCACCTACTCCTCTTCATCAGCCTCCTGTAGGCAGGGGGACCACAGATGAGCAGCAGGACTCCCAGCAGGAGCAGGGCCAGGCAGATGCTGGCCACTGTGCCAGGTGCAGTGCCAGCAGGAGGTGGCTTCGACATCTGGCCTGAGAGAAGATGGCGTCACCATGCAGGTGGCACCCCCAAGGGAGTGGCACTGCGAGGGGTGGGCACACAGCTGCTTACAGACCACATGGGTGCGAGAGCAGCCATGGACCTCCTTGGGGCTCTCGGGACAGAGGTGGAGGTAACGCTCCTTGCAGATGATCCCACTGGCATGGGAGTCCCGCAGCTCGACGCTGAAGGAGAGGTCCCCACAGCGCAGCTCCCTGCAGAGCTGGCGGCCTCGCTCGACACGGTGTACCTGCTCGTCACATAGCATGTGCCAGTGGCCCCTCTGGAACACCTCGATGTGCCCCTCGCATGGCGTGGGGCCGCCTGCCAGCCTGCGCCCGGCACGTGGCTGGGAACCTGCAGGGAGAGGACTGGTGGCACGGTGGCACAGACAGTGCCATCCCATGGCAAGTACAGCCATGAAAACCCACAACAGCAATATGTCATCTCATTAAGCCCCCCGAGCCCCGCAGGACAGCTTCAAAGCCTGAGCAGATGGAGGCGAGGGCCAAGGGCTTGGCAATCCCATGGCACAAGCAGGATGCTGCGTACATCTTCCAGTAACCAAATGTGTGCAGTTTTGTCTTTGTATGTGAGTGCAAGGGGCACCACTGCCACCCATCCTGTGCCCCTGTCACATGCTCACCTGGGCAGATGAGGAAGGTGGACGCTTTCCTGTGCCTATGGCTGGTCCAGCTGAAGCAGTCGAGTAATTCAGGGCTGGTGCACGGCACCACTGCCTCCCACCTCACGGGCAGGCGGCTCTCTGATGGCAGAGACACGGGGCCACCCACTGGGCCACCAATGGGGATGTCAGCGGTGTCACCCACAGCAACACCAATGGGGATACCACTGGGGTTGTTGCAGCCAAGTGCACGGCAGATGCGGGTGGGCAGCTCCGGCCAAACGTCTGGGCTGAGTGCCACGGCCCCCCATCGGCCCCGCAGGTGCAGCTCCACAAAGCCTGAGCAGCTGAAGTTGCCATCCACCAACCGCAGCCATGGGGCGCCTGGGGAGGGAACAGAGACAGTGCAGCCATCACACACGTGGACCTCGGCCCCAAATTCGCATTGGTGGGGAACAAAGTCCTCGCTATGCAAATCCTATCCCACCACCCAGCTGAGCTTCCACAGGGTGGCTGTGGGCAGGGGGCTCTCACCAGTGGGCTCAGGGCTGGTGGTGGGAGGCACAGGTGGGGGCTCGGTTCTGGTGGGCTCTGGCTCTGAAATGAGAAGAGAGGCAGCAGGTGGGGGCAGTGGGGGCACAGATGGCCTTAGGAAAGCCATGCTCACCACTGCAGGCGACGATGGCTTGCTGGCTGCAGTTGGCGGCCACCCAATGGCACCTCTCCATCCCCTCGCACTGCATAGCCCATGCCTGCTGCTCCTCGAGGTTGGGAGGCATGAAGTTCAGCTTGGTAGGAGGGCCACAGTCCAGCTGCTGGCACACACTGTCCTGGCTCACACCATCCCAACACACAGGGCTCCATCCGCTCCACATTTGCACCTCCAGTAGCCCAGTACAGCGGCAGCCACCACCAGAGAGCCGCAAGGTGGGCTTTTCTGGAACAGTGAGCATTGGTGGTCAGCATCCCCCGCCTGGCACTGGGCAGGCATCCCATGCCACCGTGGAACCATACAGGTTCCAAAACCCCAAAGCCGGAGCCCCAAAGCGCACTGACCTCCAGGGCCCAGGGCTGCTCCTCTGTGCCTGCAGCCAGCTGCAAGAGAAGGAGACAGCATCAGCCTGCGCCCCACACCATGGGCAGTGTGCCCCAGGAGAAGCACCGCGTACTCACCCCACATCCCCACCATGAGCAGAAGGCACAGGGCGGGCGCCTGGGCTGCCATGGAGTCGTGCTGCGTCCTCCGCCCCGGTGCTGGTGGCTGAGTGGGAGGTGTGTGGAGCAGCAACGCCTCTGTACCCAGCCTGGGGAAGGGAGGCTGGGGGGGAGAGACTGGTGGGGGAGGGGGCAGGCAGGCAGCGGCAGGCTGTTTTTCTTCCCTCTGTGGTTTTTGCGTCACATCTTCCTCATTTGAAGTTGCATCCTGGCAGCTGCCTCGCCAGAGGCAGAACCAGCGAGAAAGAGGAGGAGTGTACCTCATTTTTGACCCCATGCTCATCCCCAACCCATCTACAACCTCATAACATCTTATCTCCTTCTCTATCTCCATCCAATCCCCACTCCATCCTCATCTCCATTTCCATCTCCGTCTCGTTCCCTTCCTGTCCCCATTCCTGTTCCCATCCCCATCCCATCTCCAATCTCATCACATCCCATCCCTGTCTACATCTCATCTCTATATTCATCCCATACCCACTGCCTCCCCATCCCATCTCCAACCCCATCTCATCCCTATCTCCACTCCTTTCCATCCATCCCGTCCCCATTCCGTCCCCATCAAGGGATCCCCATCAGCCCCCAGCCCCACAGAAGGAGGGAGCCCAAGGAGAAGTGAACGTGCCCAGCACTGGGGGCCACGGGGACCTTCCATTTCCTCGGAGTCCTCTCAGGGCTGCAGGCAGTGTGGAGAAGCCGAGCTGAGCACTGGAGCTGGTATCCAAAGCACCAGAGCACCACGTGTCTCGTGCCTGAAGCACTGCTACAGTTCTCACAGTTACAGGCATTCTGGGGACACAGCATGTCGCTGTGAGGCACATGGGTGCTGGGGAGGCACTGATTGATTGCACCCTAATTAATTTCCCCAAATCCAGGTCAGGCATGCAAAGGAAACCGCTCGCCATCGACTTGGTGGCAGTGCTGATGAATGGCGGCTCCACAGGGCCACCAAGCTCTCCACACGGCAACACCACAGCCCTGTACCTGCAGAGGTCCCCCACCCCACAGCCTCACTCTGGCCCCACATCTCCACTCCCAGGGAGTTTCCTGCCTCAACACTTTCTCAGGGCTGAAGATTTTCCGTGACTCAAGTAGAGGTCTCTAAGAGATACTCAGGGTGGGCAGCGCTGATCCTGCTGGCTGCAGCGGTCCGTTGGTGGGACCCAACGTGCTCACCCCATTTCTCACCGAAACGCAGAGCGGTGCTCAGTTCACCACCAAGTAGTGGGGATGTGGTACTTGGTGCACCCTAAACCTGGGCGGATAGCATCGTGCGCAGCGTAGCTTGGCCCCATACAGGCTCCGCTCGCAGCCCTGCTCTTGTC